ATTTATTTTTATTGGTAAGGCAGAGTTAGAGAACAAAAGTTAGAAATATCCTCCATTTGCTGGTCCACTCCCCAAATGGCCTCAATGGCTGGAGCTGAGCTATCTGAAGCCAGGAGCAGGAACCTCCTTTGGGTCTTCTAGTTGGGTGTAGAGTTCCAAGTCTTTGGGCCATGCCCTGCTACTTTCCCAGGCAGCAGTTAGGAAGCTGGACACGAAGTAGAGCAGCAGAGACATAAACTGGCAGCCATATGGATACATGGCTATGCCCAACTGTCTATATTTTTTATTTGTTCTTAGTCTTTTTTTTTTTTTATGAAAAAAGGGTTCCACCTCTAAAGTTCTGTACTCTGGTACTCTTTGAATCTCTAGAAATATCTTGGTCTGACTGCTTGTTTCCGGATTAAGGATATTAAATTGTCAAAATTTACCCCTATCCACTCTTTAAGCTAGAAGCCTAACAGGGAATTCGAATTATAAAGAAGCTACATTTGGAAAATTGAATGTTTTGCCCTAAAGTTTTCTGATCATTCAGAACATTGCTACAATTTTACTTATGTTAAAGAAAAGTAAAAACATCAAGAAAATCTGAAACCCAAGGACCCTATTGGACTTATGATTTTCATTAGTTCATTAATTCTGCATCGTTGTATTTATTCCAGTGTTGTGTGGATGCTCCAAAGTAAGGGAGAATGCAACAAAATAAATATCTTCGATTACAATTTAATTTCATTGCTGAGTCAAAGAAATTTGAATCTTTTTAATTAATTTTTCTCAGAACAGATACTCACCCTCTTGTAAGATATTATTAATCAAATACTCAACCTCTTGTAAGATGTTATTAATCATCAGCATACTTATTTTTATCAGGAAGTAAATATAAACTAATGACATCATACAACTCAGTAGTTTCAGAATATTTATTTTCACATGAAGTTTTACTATTAGTTTCAAGATGAAAATTATTGCAATAATTTGAATTGGATTATTATTTAATTTGATGTTTTCTTTTTCCTCTGGGACGTAAAATTGTTTTTCTGGTACTATGCCAATTACACTTAATTTTAGAATTTTACAGTATTTATTTTTCGAAAGCTGGATGTAAGAAGGACTGCTATGTTAAGAATTATGTTATTGCTTGCTACTGTACAGACATTAAGCTGCAATATAATTTAATATGTCATGCCAGGTAACATGCAGTGTCAGCATGTTCATTTTTTCATTTTTCATATCTTTGAATAAGATACTAGGTTCAACCTAATTTAAAAAAATTAAAATATGTCTGATATATGATATCTGTAAGTGGTGTTGCAGTGCTAACTGCTACCCTAACTTACATGTTATATGATGGTAGTTGAGTGGGTGTGCACTTGGCCTGGTGGCTAAGATGTGGTTGAAGAAGCTTGTGTCCCACACCGAACTGTCAGTGTGGTACCCAGCCGAGGCTGCTGACTCAAGTTTCCTCCTTCTGCAGACCTTTTAACGCAGTGGTGTTAAGTTCCTGCCACCTTCATGCAGACCTGGGTAGAGCTCCTGGTTCCTAGCTTTAGCCCCCCAGTCCTTGTGAGCATTTAGGGAGTGAAACAGTGGCTGGGAGCACCCTATTTCTGCTTCTCAAAAAAAGCAACAAGACAAAAAAGTACCTGACATTTATTTATTCCTAAAGAACCTGGATAAAAAAGACCTTTTAACTTTTTATCTCGTATTACTTAGGCTCTTCATGAATGTAAGGACTCATGACAATTGTTGTTTAATACTTTACTAATTAATAAATTAATTAATAATTATAAATATTAGTAAAACGGACAGGTTTTTGATCAGATATAATTTGATATATCACAGAAAATTTCTCTACTGTAAAACTCCATTGATTTGTTAGTTGATATCGCTTCTTAATTTATGAAGTTCAACTTAAATAAAAATTTAAAAATATATTCCACAAGATATATACATATATATATGTTTAAATTATGATACTTCATTGGGATCTTGATATTTATCAACAGCATGACCATTAACATACAGATATTTTCCTGATTTAGCTGTGTACTTTATAATACAGGGGCCGGCACTGTTAAGTTTTGAGTAAATCTGCAACCTGTGGTAGTGGCATCCTCCGTGGGTATCAGTTTAGGTTTGGGCTGTTCCATTTCTAATCCAGTTCCCTGATAATTCACTTGGGAAAGCAGTGGAAGGTGGCCTGAGTGCTTGGGCCCCGTGCCTGTGCGGGAGACCCTGATGAAGGTTCTTCCTACTGGCTTCAGGGGCTGTTTTAGCCCAGCTATTGTGGCTGTTTGGTGAGTGAGCCAGCAGTTAGAAGAGCCTTTTCTCTCTGTCTCTACTCCCTTCTCTCTAACTCTGCCTTTCAAATAAATAAAACACACACATATAATTATAATACAGTTTGATATATAATACATAATATTAATAAGATGTGTACCCTATCATGTAATACACTCAGTAAGTCAACATTTAAATCTTTTTTACTGCATTGTGCATTTTGTTGAGAAAAAGAGAACGTATCACATGAATGTCACAAAATGTCAACTAGCTGAGTCAAAGGACAAATGAAATTTAGAATGTTTTGAGTGAGAGTAAAAGGAAGTGGAATTGATTAGTCTGTCAGTTTTTATCTTTTACCCTTTGAAGATATTTCAGATTTTTCTTCATTTACCTTTTGGGCATTGAGAAATGAAATTCAAACCTTTCTTCACATTTGTCTAACATTAATTTGGAGAAGTCTATGATAAAATAAGCTATTTTTAGATATGAGCATTTTAATTTGACAATTATTTTAGATATATTAAGATATTTTAGATATGAGTATTTTAATTTTAATTTGACAATTTTTTTATTATTTTGCATTTATGTGGTGGAATGTTTTATTAAAAAAACCACAGTGGATTGTTTCCACTGCAGCAGCTTGTTTGAGAATAGCTTTTGATTGTGCTGTTTTTTCATTTGAGTCACACCATAACAATTTGCAATAGGTAGCATGATACCATCCCTAAGTTCTGCTTTAACAGTATTTGGAAGGTGTTTGGTTTGTTCAGTTAACCAAGTTATTAAACTATAGAGTTGGAACTTCGAGCAGATTTTATGGCTGTCAGGTGCTGTTGCTCTGAATCGTCATTGACGTCAGCCTTTGAGAGAAGACTTTCACAGCCTTGAAATTGAGAGAAACATTAAATGGATACCTTTCCAGTTTTATTTTAATTTTCATATTCTGTTTTTCAAAGGTGATTTGGTGTGAATATTTTCACTTTAAAGCATTTCATTTTTAACTTGGGACAAAGACTGGTGTTTGTATGAAGCTTTAAACGTTTGTTCAGTAATTTATTTTCTATGATCTCAGTGTTCTTACCAGCCTTAAACCATAGGCATTATTGTTCTTGTTTCTTTCCCCGTGGAACTATATCATACATTTGGTAGTTATGTCTCTAGGGTCATAGCTTTGGATGGTTTGCACAACTGGTACTCAAATTCAATCTTTGTAAATTCAAATCTTTTAAAATAATATCAGTTCTTAAACTTGGGAAACTATTTCCTAATTTCTTAGAAATCTATCATCAGAATAGTTACAGCCTCCTGGAACTTCTTAAAGCTTTCTACAGTGGATTCTTGGTTCTTTTTATTATTTTACGTATAGAAGGTGAACAATTTTCGTGCATTTCACAATTCTAGGAGCAAAGGGGAAGTTCCCACCCATCCCTCCTTCCTGCCCATGCTTCCACCTGCTGTCTTGCTTCCTTATTTTTATTTATTTTTTTTTTTACAATGGCATACTTCAGTACCCTTTCACAGACCCTTAGTTCTTTCATCATGAGTGCATACTGACAGCTCAGGCCACATTCTGGGCAACATGTTTTACTATTTATAATTTTGTGTTGTATCTGTTTTTCTTGTGAGCTCACTTTTTTAGAATCTAACCTTGCTTCTGTTGGCAGCTTTTTAAATCTATTTTTGTTATTTCTATTATGGGCCTGATGTTATGTAAAATTTAAATCCAGATCTTTTTGTAACATTTTCCTTTCCATTGATGATTTACTATTTTAAAAAAAACTGCTATATGATGCAATTGTATACATATATTTATGTGTATCTGTCCAGGATTTCATTTAGTGGATTAGTTGAGTTTATTTCTTAAATGCCTACAAGAGAAAATAAACTTTTTATTCATTATTTTTGATTGTTGCATACAAAATTGAACACAGTGTATACTAAGAATCTTAATTAATTCTTGACATTAAATATTCAGACTGCAGAATTTTTAGTTTGAACATCTTTTGGGGATTGATTATAAAATCCTGTTGGTAGTATAAAGTGAGAATGTGGTGAATTAAGTCATGATGGGACATTTCTTTTTAATTAAATGAAATTCTCTTCTGTTGTTTCTTAGGCTTGGAGGAAAACAGCCTATTATAGGCAGTTTGTTGAATCTTTTCTTAATGTACCATTCTGCTTTACACATCTTTAGTTTCTCACTTGAATTCACTCTAGGAATGATGTGCAGACTTCTTAAGTATCTCTGATATTATTATTATTATTATTATTATTATTATTATTATTATTTGAATCTAGGGAATTTGTGATTTCAATTTTTTCTTCATATAAGTTAGATGTGTACTATCTGGATAAAAAGACCTCTTTAAAAAATTGGAAGAATTGCATTTTACTGAACCAGTTTATTCAGCTAATATATTTTTCAGCCAAATGGACTTTGTTACAGTTTCATTGGTTAGTCAGTGAGCTGTGTGTGCACATGTGCAGTGTATGGTTGTGTGTGTTTTTGTTACTATTTCTGGTGGTGACATGGGTAAGTAAAACAAACAACTAAATGTTGAACAGGAAAATTCCTCCACCCAGTTTTATAGTTCCTTGAAGGATCACTCTAAATTACCTGCCAACATCTAGTTTATCTTTAAACTTTCTGTATAATAAAATCTGTGTGGCTCAGCATATTTTCTTTTCTGTTGTATACTTTCTCTTTTTTTTTCCCTTAGGGATATAGTTCTCAAGCTACTACAATATGAGGCATCAACAAATGTAGCAGACAACAAAGGGTATTTCCCCATTCACCTGGCTGCCTGGAAAGGAGATGTGGAAATCGTCAAGATCCTTATTCATCATGGGCCGTCGCATTCCAGAGTCAATGAACAGGTCACTGGTCAAATGTTTGCTCATACTGCAGTCTCACAAAGCCCAAAACCACATGAAACAATCGAAACCCTTGCACCACTGAATTTCCTAAAGGAGAATTTGAAAAATTCCCTGGCATCTGGAGATGATGTACAGGCACTAAATTAGGCATTTGTAAAGATATTTGTGAACGAGAAGATCCCACGTAAAGGAAGTAGTTCTATTTTTGCCTACCTTATATAATCATCCATTTTATAGCTGTTGAATATTTAAAGAGAGAACAGAACTCACATTTGTAATGAGAGCTAAGGTATTCTTTTAAATAAGATTTTGGCTGCAGAAACAATGATGACAAGCTATTTGCATAATGCATTACTATTTACATAGGGATTTCATGGCTATGTATGCTTTTGTGAATCAAAATTCAAAATACAATGGATGCAGTTGCTAGTCATCTATTAAAAAATTCCTATATCTAAATGTAGAAATAAATTAAACACAGCAGCAGTATGATATGGACAGATACAGTTTTATTAGGATGTAATGTTTGTATTAATAGGGCACCAGTTAAAAATGAATGTTATGTTAAGTATTGTAAACAAATAAGACCACAGCTCTAGGAAAGTAAAATATGGTTTCCAAATATAGTGTGATAACAAACATCTTGAGCTCTGCATGCCCCCTACTGTTCCCATTTTGTAAAACTGTATTTGAAAACCAGCATGCAGTCCAATGATTGAATTACAACCATGGCATTAAGCTGAAGGTTGGCAGATCTCCAAGCATCAAGGCAAGTAGGTTACTCCAGGGCAAGCGCATCCCGTGAAGTACAATTAGCATATTGTTCAAATGGATACAGACTGCAGACTGCAGACCTCTTTCTGAAATGCAGACCAAAGAATGAAAAGTAACACTATCTGTGAACAACGGAAGAAAGAAAATATTTTCGACAAAATGCAGTTTTCAAAAGGACTAGTTAGAGAAAATCTCAGTTGCAAAAATGTCTTACTACCGATCACAATACGAGGTTTCTGTTCTACATAATGCAAAATTTAAGAATGAGGATACATTCATTCTGTTGGAAAGTAACAGCTGCGGCTCTCTGTGTGAGGATATCTAGCTGAAAGAAAATTGGTGAGAATGATCTTCTCAGAAACCAAAACTTAGACCGTTTGTGGAATGAGCCATCTGGTGGTTATTCTTAAAACTGACTGTTGGAAAGCAAACCTGAATAAAAAGGGAAAAAGTTAAATAAAAGGAAGTTAGTTGTTCCAAGAACAGTGCTTTTTAAATGATATAAAATAAGAAAAATGCATATAATATTCACTTATTTTTGGAAGTTGGAAATTTGGCATGATATTTCACACTAAAAAGAAGAATCTCTTTTCTATAGTGTTGAACAAATCAATTATATTGTTGAAATAGGTGTTTGAAAACTGGAATTCAGTAATGTTTTTGTTTGTTTATTTATGCTGAACTTTCTATTGACAATGAGTTGAAAGTTGCTTGAATTTTCAAAATGATACTTTTCATTGTTTTTGTTTGGTAGGCATGTATTTCTGAGTGCTGATGTAGTTTTCTCCCTTTCCACACCCAATCTCCTAAAAGTTTCTGATGTGGGAATTTTATTTTTATAAGTAGCTTTTGATTTTAACTTGCTTTCCCCCCCGCCTCTCTGGATGAGAGAGGAATATTCTGGTCACTTTTAAATGGTTCTGTTTTCAAACAAGAGAAGAATGAAAATGGCGTTTGACATTTATTGAGACATAAGTTAAGCCAAGCGTGGTTCTAAGCACTTCCACATGTGAAGTGGTATTTAATTCATTTGTGGGATAACCCCAGATGATAGTATAATCACTCCCGTTTTTGGACAAGAAGTCAGGCTCAGTGAAGCTCCATAACCTGTCCAGGGGCACATGAGACTGGGTCACTCAAGCTAACACTTGATTCATTTCTTGGTGACTCGAGATAATTCAGCAGTACATGTACTTGTCATCCTAAATTCAGTGATTTGAGGAATACTGACTGCATAGCAGCTGTCGTGCACTAGACTTCCCCTATATTGTGTTAGCAAAACCCCATAGCAATCTGATGAGGTGAGCATTAGCTATCATTTATACTGGATATGTGAGGAAATAACCTCGGAGATAATAATTAACTTGCCAGTGTTATCAGGATGCAGCTTGTATTTGAACACCACTTTTTCTGATCCAAGACTCCAATACACATTAGGGAGAAGATTTTAGTCTGTAATATATTGTTAATACTGTAATATATTGTGTAATATATTGTTATATACACCCATCACCATCAGAGCTTTATTCTGATTCTGCAGGATATCTTTGATTTCCACCCCCCTCTCTCTGTCTCGCCGTTCCTCCCTCCCCTCTATCCGTTCCTTTTTCCTTTACTCCCTCCCTGTTTGTTTTTAAGATTTTAATATTTATTTAAAGGCAGAATGACAGCAGGTGGGAGTGTCACACACACACACACACACACACACATACCCTCCCCTGAGGTTTTTTTTTTTTTTTTTTTTGTCTGCTGGTTCACTGCCCAAGTGCTTGCAAGAAGCAGGACTAAGACAGCCAGGTGCTCCATCCAGGTCTCCCACACATGTGGCACATTGCATCTGTTGCCTCCAAAGAATCATTCGCCAGAAAGTTAATCCAGTGCAGAGTCACCTTCACTCTGATGTGAGATGCTGGTGTCCCAAGTAAGTGTTTAACTTGCTCTGCCACAAAGCCCACCCCATCTTTTGTGTTTTATATCCAGGTGCCCCCTTTGCATCACTACTCTTGCCCTTTCTGGCTGTTTATTAAATCAAATGACGGTCGCTAGTGTGGGAGCACCGTGATCCTGTGACAGTGGATCTGATAAACACGATGGCTCCTAACCGACAAGTGGCTGAGCTGTTTATGCTGCGTCAGTGTTCTGGATGAAGTTGTTCAATCCTGGGTGGGACAAAATGGGACAGTGAGAGATTCCATGATGCCACTTAGTGAGTGGCACACAATTTGAAAGTTATGAATGCCTATTTTTGGAATTTTCCATGTAATGTTTTCAGAGTCTGATTGGCCTTGATTGAAACTGAGGAAACAAAGCTATAGGTAAGGGGTGCAGCTTTCTTTAAAATTGATTCTGTGCTTTAATGTTTTAAGGGTTACAGAACTAAGTGTTAGCTCTTTCAGTTTGTAAATGACATTGTAAGATATCTGGCAAAGGTTGTATTCTCGTTATGCAGACAAGATAGATTCAGAAATATTGACTGGTGCTAGTAAGTGGCATGTTAACACTTAAGCCTGTGTCCTGTCTGCCATTATGATATGGCTCGGGATGTGTGACCAATTTAAGATGAAATGAATCTGTGAAACAGAAAAGACTTTACCATGTGTGTATATTTTATAAATGCCACATCCTTCCTACCTATTTTTGGTCACTTTGTTTTGATATTGTTTTAAATTTCAGTTTCTCTGTACTGATTTTCTCTTCCTATTTTAAAAACTGTTGACATTGGGTCCTGGCAGATAGCCTAGTGGCTAAAGTCCTTGCCTTGCATGAGCTGGGATGCCGTACAGGTGTCAGTTTCTATCCTACTGCTCCACTTCCCATCCAGCTCCCTGCTTGTGGCCTGGGAAAGCAGTCAAGGACGGCCCAAAGCCTTGGGACCATACACATATATGGGAGACCTGGAAGAGGCTGCTGGCTCCTGGCTTCTGATTGGTTCAGCTATGGCTATTGGTCACTTGGGGGGGGGTGAACCAGCGGTACATAGTAGTAGTAGCCAAGCATGCCAACTGCTGTGTTCCCCTAGAACTTCCCTTTAGTGTCATTACATTATTATTATCAAAGATTTCTTCTTTATGTGTCTGCTAACTGATCCTAAAAATCTCCAGATACCCGGATTCCTATCGCTGTAGCCCACCTGCCCCAGGCAGCTGAAGGCCATACTATCCTGATTTCAGTTTTCACTCTTCTTAGCAGTTTTCTTCATTTTGCTAAATATATAGGAATACCTTATTAATTTTCAACTTAACAATTACAAGCTACACATGTAGTGTTCTCATACTATTGCTAGATAACTTCTCTGGGAATTGCTCTAGGTCTACCACTTTTCTATAATTTTGACTCAAGGAAATGGTATTTTATCTTTTTTAGGGCAAAAAGTCTTCATTCTCTACAAAATCAAGAATGACTTATATTCACATGAAAAATAAAATTAAACTCTTTTGGGAAGCATTCCTGTAAATCTTTCATTTTATGCATTTACCACATCAACTATATTTTTGAAAGGCAATCTTTTAAAAGTGTGCTGTGATGGCTATTAATCCCATTCATTTAGAAATGACACAGAGAAATGATACACAGCGCAGGTACCCCTCACCATCTGGACTCAGCGGGGCCACAGATGAACAAGACTAAATCATATATCATTTTGGAAATTGGAATTCATTATGCAGGGAAAACTTTGATTTTTTTCATTAAAATTAAAAAATGTGGCTGTGATGCAATGAATAATAAATACTTCTATGAAGCACAAAATTCAACTCTGTATTTAGTAAAAAAAAATCAATAAAATTGTGTTTTCAGATATTTGACATTATTGTGCTTAGATTTTTATAAACAGAATTCTGAAAAGTTGCATTTTGTATCTTGTGTAGAACAATGAAAACGAAACTGCTCTGCACTGTGCAGCCCAGTATGGACACTCAGAAGTAGTTGCTGTTCTCCTGGAAGAGCTGACAGATCCGACGATCAGGAACAGCAAGCTTGAGACGCCCCTGGACCTGGCTGCCCTCTATGGGCGGCTGAGAGTGGTCAAAATGATCATCAGTGCACACCCCAACTTGATGAGCTGCAATACGCGAAAGCACACCCCGCTTCACCTGGCCGCTCGCAATGGACACAAGGCTGTCGTACAGGTGCTGCTGGAGGCCGGAATGGATGTGAGCTGCCAAGTGAGTCTTCCACTGTGGTGTCAAAGTTGCGGTCCTCTCACTCTGCTTTGAGATGCAGACGAATCAAGTTTGCTTGTAGGTGTTTGATTGTATTTAAAACCAAGTGTCCACAAGTAGTTTTGTAAGTACTGAAGTGGAGGTACTCTACTGCACTCTTTGGAGAAAGATGAAGAGCTGTAAGAAATAGTTTCTAACATTTTTCTACTTTCACATCTATACTCAGGAGAAATCATTAGTGGGTAGCAGTGCATACTGTGAATTAACGGTGCTTTCCTTTAGGCCTTTGTCTTGCACCCGGCCTAACAGACACTGAGAACTTAATCAAGTTGAATGATGGAATTAAGCTTCTCTTTAATAATTTTGAGTATGGAATTGAGATTTATAATGTTGACACTTTTAGAATTTAATTCGCACAGCTATTCTATGGGATTGAGAGAGGTTAAGTTCCAGTTAAGAGTTCAGAAATCAGATTCAAACATTTAAGAAGTTTGCCTAAGGACACATAGTTAATAAAACCAGATTATGAATTTAGATTTCCTGATTAAAGTCCAGACCTCCTTCCAGTGTAATGTACTGTCTCTGCATAACTAATGAAAGAAAGATCATCATGCCTAAGGACAATCAGGAAAAAAATGTGTTAAAGAGTTGTTGATAAGTTTTGGAGGAAGGTAGCATTTGGATGGATTTAATTCCTTCACAAGGAAAGGGCAACCTGCTTTTATTAACACATGCTAGCTCCAGTTCCACATTACTTCTTCCCCCAATCCTCTCCTCCCTTTATGGCTGTTTGTTGAGTCCCTGTTTGATGGCAGCATTTTGTCTTCCAGTAAGTCAGTTTGATTTCTCTCGGAGTGTGACCTTCTCCCCTGTGGCTTAGCAAGCCTCGCTGCATGGTATAGTATCTGAGCCGGGAGTTTGTGTTATTGTGCACTGTATTAAGCTTGCCACACAGGCATCTGAAATGAGAATGCCAGTTTGCATTCTGGGTGTTGTGCTATTAACAACTTCCTGCTAATGTACCTGCAAAGGCAGCAAGGAGATGGCCCATGTACTTGAGCCCCTGACACTTGGGTTGAGTTCCTTGTTTCTGGCTTTGGCCTGCACCAAATCTAATTATTGGCAGCCATTTAGGTAGTGAACTACCAGATGGGTTATCTCTGCCTCTGTCATCCTTGTTTTCAAATAAATGAATAAATATTTTTAAATTATCATAATAAAATGATTTGATGCAATAGCTCAAATAAAAATAAAAGAGGCCAAAGTATCGCACAGTTTGCATAATCCAACTAAAGGTTTGATTTTCCTAGGAGTTGCTCAGAAGTTGACTCGTATGCCTTCAAAATTTTCTTTTCCAAGTGTTTAAAATCTTATACCTTGATCTCAGCTTTAAAGCTGACACCCTAGATCAGAGCTTTCTTTAAAACATTTCCTTTATGCATTGATTGTTCAGGTATTTGCAATTTCTCAATTTCTTGTCTAATTTAGATACCCTAGAATACAAACGAGTAGAGAAAAAAGTCTTTCTCCTCAAAGAGGTGATAAGATTATGTAAAAACTTGTTTAATATTGTAGATTATTCACAAAGTTAGAATTTTAAAATGTGTATAATATTCAACTAGATATTTATTGCCTAAATTTTGAATTTCTCTAATATGTATTTACTACATTGTAATATTTCTGGGATGTTTCTAAACTTGGTTTCATAGACTGACTTTTTTTTACAGTTTTAAAATTGTACTTAGTTTAGTGTTTCATAACAAAGGTGAGGGGATTGATTTGAAAGGCAGAGAGCTGGGGAACAGAGAAGGAGAGTGAGCAAGCACTCCCATCTGCTAGTTCACAAACCATATGCTCACAGCGGCTGGGGCTTGGCTGTGCTAAAGCTGGGACCAGGAACTCACTCTGTGCCTCCTGCATGGGTGCCAGGGACCCAGCCATTCGAATCCTTATCCCCTGCTGCCCCACATGGTGCATAATAACCAGAAGCTGGTATTGGGAGTGGAGCTGGAACCTAAACCAGGACTTCCCTATGGAACATGGGCATGCCAATGGGCAAAATAACTGGTGTCTCAAGTGCCTGCTCTCAACACGTACTGACGCATAATCGAGGACTTTCATTATGACTGGAATCTGCAAGTAACTTGATGATCATGAGCAAGGCTTTTGTGTTTTATGCCAAATGATATAACCAGGACAGGAAGAATTTACATTGTTTTGTGAATGAAGATAGCACATTTTAAAAAAAAGACTTATTTATTTTTTTTGGAAAGTGAGATATACAGAATGGAGGAGACACAGAAAGGAAGATCTTCTGTCCAATGACTCACCCCCTAAGTGGCTGCAACAGCCAGAGCTGAGCTGATGTGAAGCCAGGAGCTTCTTCTGGGTCTGCCACGTGGTGCAGGGTCCCAAGGCTTTGGGCCATCCTCAACTGCTTTCCCAGGCCTCAAGCAGGGAGCTGGATGGGAAGTGGAGCAGTCAAGACATGAACCAGTGCCCATATGGGATCACAGGTGTGCAAGGCAAAGATTTTAAGCACTAGACTACTGCACCGAGCCCTCTAATCCATTATAAAAATCTCTTTATTTCTCTCTCATCCTTAGAAGGTCATTTAGGATAGGTATGAAATTCTAGATAGATAGTTGTTATCTCTTGACAGTTTCAAGTAAAACTTCTTTTAATGTATTCCTTGCAGGGAAGTTTTATATCTCTTAACATTTATATCTGGCTCTTTTGCTACAAATCCAGAATTATTTTATTCTACATTTTGGCTTGGAATAGGGGATCATTGACATTGTATAATCTTCATTCCAAACTTTCCTCATGAATATAAAATATATGTGTAGGTATTCTTTCGGAAGACTTATCTATTTGTTTTTGTTTTCATTATTTGAAGGACAGGAATCTTCCATCTGCAGCGTTATTGCCCAGATGCCCACTGTAGGTGGTGCTGGGCCAGGCTGAAGTCTGGCCAAGAACTCAGTCTGAACCTCTCACATGAGTGGCATGTGCACTCAGATACTACATCCATCACCTGCTGCTTCCCTGGATGCGCATTAGCAGGAAGCTGCACTCTTAAGTGACAACAGACTACACACTCAATATGGGATTATGCATGATCATCAGGTGGTATCTTAACTGCTACTTCAAATGCCTGCTCTAGGGGCCCGGCGCAATAGCGAAGTGGCTTAAGTCCTCACCTTGCGTGCACCAGGATCCCATTTGGGCACCAATTCCTACCCTGGTGGCCTGCCTCACATTCAGCTCCCTGCTTGTGGCCTGGGAAAACAGTTGAGGATGGCCCAAAAGCTTTGGACTCTGCACCCACATGGGATACCTGGAAGAGGCTCTGGGCTCCTGGTTTTGGATGGACACAGCACCAACAGTTGCGCTCACTTGGGGAGTGAATCAATGGATGTAAGATCTTCCTCTCTGTCTCTTCTCTCTGTATATCTGACTTTCCAATCAAAATAAATAGTTTTTTTTTTTAAGCCTGCTCTAAGATTTATGCCTTTTCTTCTATTGAGTATCAAGGCCTAGAAACATTTATTTTCATCACAAATGTTTTTTTTTTTCAGAGGTTTTGGAGTTTTTCAGGGGTCACTGATCTGCCCTCCAGTTTGCTTGGTCCTCACACTTTGTCTGTGGACACTCTTCCACTAGCATCCTAAGTGTCTGCTGTCACAGTCTGTCTTCCGCAGGCTGTCCGACCAGGAGGATAGAACAAATACCATTCAGTATTAGCCCTGTCTGCTGCTCAGGCTGTGAAGAATCACATTATTTTTGCCCTTCAACCCTGTACTTCAAATATCAGTTAGCTTATTTCCAGCCTTATTTTTCCATAAGCAGTGTTTAGAATGAAAAATATAAAGACTTTGTGATAAGTGGAAGTGAATCAAAATGATGTTCAGAAATTTGGCTGGAAGATAGAGAGTAAGAATGAGGTCAATTAAGTGATTTCAGCGGATGATGCTCAGGGACTGAGCAGTATTCATGTTGACATTGAAGTATGCGAAGAACTGAGGAAGTTTCATAATTTTCTTTTTTCTCTTCAACACATTTGCTGTTTGTTATTTTAGGTCCATTTTCATTAGCATCTAAACATGTCATTATAATTTTTGTGTATTTCATTCATACCCTTTTTAAATTTTTACTTTTTTCCCAGTTTCCTTAAATTTAAATTTTAGATTCATGGGTTACAAGTGAAACACTCCAGTACCTTCCCGAGTATGAAGTGTAGAGTGATCAGGTCACCATCTCACCATCTCTGCCCCTTCCAGAAGCCTTTGAGCTCTCGCTTTGAGCCCCCTGTAAAATATATTACAGCCTGTTGTGAAGCTGCGGCATCAGCACCTGTGCCCTCCTTCCGTGTAACTGTGCTTTGGTGCTTACCATACAACTTCCTATGCTCTACTCTGCTCTACCAATTCTTTCCATTTCCTAGCAATTACCACTCTATGTTCAAATTTGACACTAAAAAAAAAACTTCACAGAGAACATTTGGCATTTATATTTCTGTGTCTGACAAAACTTCTTGAAGATTCATTCAGAGCACATTGATATTCAGTGTTACTCTGCTTTCTAATCAAGTACTCGTAAACTGTTGTAAATTGCGTTTCTTAGCTATATAAGGATGTTATTTTATGTATGATAGTTTTATTTCAGATTGACATTAGATTTTCACATCAGAGGTCATTTGTGGTAGCAGGCACCAAAATTGTCACATGAATGCCACTTATATGTGTGTGTGTGTATACACACATAACACATATAAATATATTTATACAAATATACACATACAAGCATATATGCACACAAGCTTTGAGGTCCTATTAGATATTTGTTAGGTTCTTAAGAAAATAATGAAGAAAAAGTTATGTGGCTCAAAAGGGGTCTGTTTGAAATCTTCAATGCAGAATTAGTCTTGCCCTGTATTGTATACCAATGCGTCGACCATTTTCAAACGTGCATCCTTTTTATTTCTATGGTTCTAATGTCTCTACATTTTACCCTTAAAATATTTCTGAACATCTACATTTTTAAAGTACTGTCCCAGGCATTGCAACTAAAGCAGTTAAAGAAATAGATGTAGTCTTCATTTCCGCTTAATTTAGTTTATCATGGGAAATAAGCAATTACCTGAAAATATAATGTAGCATTAAGAGTACAATGATAAAGATAATAAAGATTGATATGGAACACTTAAGAAAAACACTAGAATTCAGGAGCTACGGATGTCCGCTATAAAATTATATCAAGCTAAGATTTGATGTAGACTATAAATCAATAGTTTTGAAGCTACATTCTTTAGATCTTTAGTTTTATCTGGGAACTTGTTCTAAATGGAAATTTTTGGGCCTCAGCTTAAACTACAGCATCAGAATCTCTTGGATTGTGGGCTCAGGAATCAGGAATGTTTTTTTTCAAGCTTTCTGGGTGATTGTGATTCATTTTAAATTGAGAACTACAAGGATAGGTTTTGACCATATCCAGAGAACTAGGAGTCAGATGCTGCCAGGCAGAGGGATCAGCCTTTAAGATGTCAAAGAAATGACATTAATATGAAATGATTCATTGTGCTCAGAGCATAGGATATGAGGTTTGGGAGGAATTTGTATGGAACAAAAGAGGGGATGGAGAACAAAGCAAGAAGATCATCTGGGTTTTTTTTTAAACCACATTAAATAGTGTAGATTTCATTTATCACAAATGTTTATCTATTAATATGTCTCCTGAATTAGTATGTAAATATGCAACCACCAGGGTGATATTTCCATGCCTCAGAACGTCTCTCAGGTAATTGGTGCTTAGTAAGTGCATGCTGATTGAGTGAACTTGCTGGATACTCATGAAAGCTTTGTCAGGTAGGCGTTCCCACACTGGCTTTATACTTGAGGGCAACCCAGGCTATGAGAAGGTGGTGGCTCACTTTACCTAACCGTCAAATGGCTGTCCAGTGACAGAGGTATTCGATTGGCTGTCCGGTGACAGAGGTATTCGATAATAGAGAGCTTGTGAAAAACATTGCTGGGCCCACCATCCAAGAGATTCTGATGCTGTAGTTGAAACTGAGGTCCATTTAGAACAAGTTCCCAAATGATAGCAAACACGTAAGGAATATACCTGGAGAACTATTGATTTACATTCTACATCAAATCTCAACTTGATATACTTTATATCAGACATCCATAGCTCCTGAAATCAAGTGTTTTTCATAAATATTCCCTATCTTTGTCATTCTTTTAGAATGTATGGATGTATTAGGATATATGTCTGAGAAAATGACAGTTTCTTAATCTGTAGCTATTATAAATGCGACCATGTTTTATTTCTTCTTTGTTCCAGACAGAAAAAGGGAGTGCACTCCATGAAGCAGCTTTGTTTGGAAAAGTGGACGTTGTACGAGTTTTGTTAGAAACAGGTAACTGTCCCGATGATTCATAAGATATGCTATACAAATAAACAGAGAATTATAACTGCTATAATGAAACAATGTGTAAGTAAAAAAAAAATCTAGTAAAAGAATAATAAAAATCCACAGCAAAAATTAGAAATATTGGGCCCGGCGCGATGGCGCAGTGGTTAAGGTCCTCGCCTTGCAAGCCCGGGATCCCATATGGGCGCCAGTTCTATCCCAGCAGCCCCGCTTCCCTTCCAGCTCCCTGCCTGTGGCCCGGGAAAGCAGTCGAGGATGGCCCAAAGCTTTGGGAACCTGCATCTGCATGGGAGACCTGGAAGAGGCTGCTGGCTTTGGATCGGCCTAGCATCGGCCGTTGCGCTCATTTGGGGAGTGAATCATCGGATGGAAAATCTTCCTCTCTGTTACTCCTCTCTGTATATCCGCCTTTTCCAAAAAAAAAAAAAAATTAGAAATATTTATGGAAAAATAATAGGACAGTCATTACTTATCAATAATTGTTTTGAATGGGAATGGCCTATATTCTCCAATTAAAAGATATAGAATGTCTGAACCTATTAAAAAACAAGACTCATGTATTTGTTGCAATAATAATACAGAACTCACTAACAAACTCTGCAAGACATTGGCGTAGGGGAAGACTTTTGAAGAGAGCCCAGAAGCACAATGGCGTTGCATCAAGCTGAAAAGCTGCTTCACTGCCAAGGTCATTGTCAGCTGATTGAAGAGGCAAACAAAACCAGCAGAATGGAAGAAAGGATCTGAAAACTATACAACAAATGACAGCTGAATATTCAAGATCTATTAGAAGCACAGGAACCCCAACAGAAAAGGAAGTAATCCAGTTAAGAAATGGGCAGTGGACTTGAACAGGTAGTTTTCAAAAAGATGCTATACAAGTGGCAAAAAGGCACATTAAAAAAAAAAAAAAAACAACCCTCAGGATCACTAGACACCAGGGAAATGTAAATACAAACCACAGTGAATTTTCACCACACTCTGCCTGGAATAGTTATCCAAAAGCAAAATCCCAAAACAATAAATGCTGTTGAAGATGTGGGAAAATATGTACCTGTGTTCACTGTTGGTGAGTTTATAAACTGGTGAAAACAATTATGGAAGACAGTATGGAGATTGCTCAGAGATCTGAAAGTACATCCACTGTATTGCCCTGCTGTTCCACTCCTGGGAATTAACTCCATGTAAATGAAATCAGCAGAGAAGACATCCTTTGTGTCCATATGCTTGCTGCAGATCATTCATAGTGCCAAGATATGAGATCAACCCAGATGTCTATCAACTGAAGGCAGGATAAAAAATGTGGTATTTACACTGAGGATTACAAAATACCATGTTTTTTTTCCCAACTTAAAATGTAAGTTGCAGTTAATACAGAATACAGAAACTGTATTGGAATGAAATCGTCATTTGGTATATGATTTTCTTCAGCCATTGTTTCTTCTTCTGTGGAACTGGGAACTTCCTACTTTTTACTTGCTCAAAATTATGATTTGTGGTGACTTAAGTCTGAGATATAGAGTGGATAAAAGTCATGTCTTAGCAATAACTGATAAGGAGAAGGAGGGATCTAGCGGTTAGGGAAGTGAATGTTGCTGGGTTGTCTTCTTGGAGCTATGAAATGCATAAAAGTCTGTTCTCTTTGTGTTAGTAAAAATTTACATTCTATGTCAGTGATTTTTTTTTCAGTTTAATTAATGTCTACTTAACTAGTAATCATGAAAGCAGTCATAATGACTGGGTTTAATGTCCTTTCAAATCTTCAGTTGAAGATCAAAAATGTTTGTAATCTTTGGTAGCAGTAGATTTCCACTTTCTCTGTTTAAAATCTCTCTCTCTCTCTCACACACACTCTGTATGTGTGTAGAACTTCAAACTTTGAGGCCACATTCAGTACTTGGTCTGTACATCTTTGAGTTTACGTAGTGCTGTATGATGGTATCTTCTGAGGAAACACCAGTGCTGTACATCCTTTTCTCTTTTCCTTTCTGTTGCAGGAATTGATGCCAACATAAAGGATAGTTTAGGTAGAACAGTCCTAGATATTTTGAAAGAACATCCATCTCAGAAGTCTCTCCAGATTGCAACACTCTTACAAGGTAAACTGTACAGAAAGATGGACATGTTTGTTCAAAGTCAAAATTAAAGTTCAGCTTTTCTGTTCGGTTTTGAGTTAGTATTTAGATTGATTGTATTATGTTCATATTTTATGATGTGACTTTGAATAATATTTGCTTTGTTTCTATTTTTCAATACTCAAGAAAGTTAAATATTCAACTACGTGTTAACTTTTTAAAAAACTCATGCAGTAAATATAGAGTAATGTTTTTAGACTTAACAAGATATGCAAGCTGGTAATGATTAATTATAATGAATTTGAAAAATGATTAAGAGCTTGCAGTATTTTCTCTATTATTTTTGGCTTACTTCTATGTGAACTACATAAGTAAGATATTCTGTTTTACGCACATAAGGGAAACTAAAACAGTGAAAGACTGATCTGTTCAAATCTCTATATCCTATTCTAAGTGGAAGGACTTGGGTAAGGTCAAAAGTAAGGCTTTGCTCTTATATCTGTATTACTGAACACGTGAAATATGTTCATCTTACAAAAATGAAGTAAAAAACTAGAAATCAAATCGGTATAGGAACCAAACACAATGTGTACAAATCCTTAAAGCAAAAATAAGACACTTAGTATGTAAGAGCTGAGTTAAGAACAAAACCCTGTAATGAGCTGAGCAAAAACGGATTTCCTCTCTAATGCAGTAGTGCAAGGAGGTTGAGTCTTGCCTTTTCTTTTTCTTTTTATTATGGCCATGTAAGAGCAGTTATAATTAGGAATAGTCACCAGGTCTATAGAAGGCTTTACAAGCATCTAGATACTTTTTTGTTAATTTGCAGAATTATAAAATTCCATTTTTGACCTAGAACTGCAACATTTTAAAATTAATTAAAAAGCTATGTGAGAGACAGGGAGAAAAGGGACAGACACACATTTTGCACTGTCATCTGCTGCTTACCAGGGTACACATTAGCAGGAGCTGGCTCAGTCAGTGGTGCTGTGATTTGAACCCAAGCACTCAGGTACAGGATGCAGATATCCCTCACTGCTTCTCAGCACTGTTGAATACCTATTGCTTGATCTGAAGCTTATATTGATAAATAGGCCAGACAGGTACTTTTAAAACCTGGATTGTTCAGTTCTCTTCTTTCTAGTCAATTCTTGTATTGCTTAGCGATAATCATCCCTATACCTGCTCTGCTTGGCTGCAAGGGTAATGGAGGAGAAAGGCTAGAAAGGCTTCCTTAGCTATTAGATGGGAAGCTGAAGAATAGCATCATTCTTCAGATAACTCTGTTACATGTAAGGCAGAGGCTGTGGAGAGTTAACAAAACAAGTGGGAGTTGGGAGGGAGACAGTTGTATATTTGGAAATGCAATGAAAACTTTTGTTTTGGCAATACAGTTGGTTTACAGTAGGTAAAATTACTATTCTACAAAATTTGCATAGTTATTGCATGCCTCAAGGATGGATCCTGTAAATTTCTTTCTTGTTCCAGTCAAGTTTTCCCAATGGAATTGCCCTTTGATGGAAAGAATTTGAGTGGAATGAAAACACAATTGGTTGCCAAGAGAGTAAAAAAAAAATTCTTAATTAGATTTATGTTTGAAAAGATTCCCTCCTAATAAAGAAGTACAGTAAAAGGATGCCCATGAAAAGGGATTTGTTGATGTAAAGCTTCAGTTAGAGGGCCCACACTAGCTGCTTGTGGCTGAATGTTCTTCACCGATAACAGACATGTTTTGTTTAGATCACACATTTTCGGCCTACAGTTTGTTTTCATAAATTGTCAGCATTTAAAAATCTAGATTTTTCAGCTTAAACATGAGAATTTTGGCTTCTCTAAAAATACAGGGTTTTATTTTACTTCATTCCTGAACTTTACATGGAGCAGCTGCTCCCTGGCTAAACATCCTGTTACTACTGTTCTTTCCATTGAGGCCGGATATGGCTTGACATTTATCCCTGGTCTCAGCTGCTATTTCCTTACGATTAAAAGAAATGTGAGATGGTTCCTGGTCCCGTTTTCTCTGGCTCAACCACTTACTAGCTCTGTGAATGCTGATAAGCTAGTGTTCCTCTTCTACTGTTAGATTCCGGGCTAACGCCCCCGGACGTCAGGGTGCAAGCAAGTCAACCCCCAGAGAACGACAGAGTCTCGCTGGTAATGCGAACAGCAAACAGAGTTTATTGTGCCAGCATGCTGGGGCCAGACCGCACTTGCGGCACGCAGGCCAGCCAAGCAGGGCAGTCGGACTGAACAGCCCAAGACAGAAGCTTATATAGGCCCTTTTGGGCTGGGAAATACATCAAAAGTAACAACCTTAGCCATGTTCATTTTTATGGCCTTCAGGCGCAGGCAACCTGTTCTGTTCCCATACCCATTATCTGTATGGCTCATCCCATTCTCACACCCTTATCTTCCTCCTGTTCCTGGGATCGGAGAAGAATTGTGCACTTGCCCTCCTGCACCTGGGCTCACAAAGTTGCGGGACAGCAAAGAACAGATTTATCACTAAAGCGGGGTCCTCCCAAAGTCCAGGCGCCTCCTGGCCTAGCAGCAGTTTTCTCTATACAAGGGAACCTCACACTGCCCAACAATGGCATTTTACCCACCTTAACACTACTAGTCATGATCTTTAAGAATCATTAGTACTAGTGTAGCAATTAGATGAATTAATTTGCATCAGATACTTAGAACAACGCTGGGTGCATAGCAGCAGCAGCACTTAAATTTTAGCTGGTACTGCTATATTATGTCATCATCAAAACTGAAAAGATGAAGGGTAGGTGGAAACTGGGACTTTATTTCAGGAATGATGAGCATGAACTCTTTTTGTGGAAATGAATTTTAGTATGCAATATTAAGTTACCCTGTAATATTACGATACCATTATGAAACAAATCTGCCCCATTGCTTTCATTTATGTTGTTTGACTAGTTTTGGAATCTGTCTGAATTTAACATCTCTGTTTTAGTGATCAAATCTATTCAGAACATCTTCCAAAGAGTTTTAAATCTTTGCAGAAAAAAATATGTGAAGAAGCCAGGAAAGCTATTGTGCATCTTTAATTGTATATTTAATTTTAGGAAAATAATGGAATAGTTTAGTTTTCGGGGGAAAAAAAAAGGAGCTCTTAAATTTCTTCTAAAAGTATCTAGATTGAGTTTTTTGAAAATTACAATTTTTTTATGGTGAAAACTCATGTAGAAGTTCTCTTTTTTTGATGGGGGAATGTTCTTTTGAAAATTGAGGATATGAGAAAGTAAATACAAATTAAATTGATATAGTAAAATTACTGATTTTTAAAATCAGCAAATTTATGTGCGTAATTTCAAAACCCTGTGTACAGAGTATTTAGAAGGCGTGGGAAGACCGACAGTGCTTGAAGAGCATGTACAAGAAGATACAACCCAAGAAACACATATTTCACCTCCTGCTGAGTCTCCTTCCCAAAAGACCAAAAGTGAGTAGCTGCTTGTAAAGCCTTGAAACTGCTTTATACTCTGACATATAAATTTATTTAGCTGTTTGCATGGGCTAACAGTTGTGGAAATTGCTGTATTTTTTATTGCATATCTTACATTCTCTACTATATGGTGTGTGTACTGTGTATTTTACACATTTAATCAGTCAGTTGACACTGAGTTCATGCTATTTGTTAGATTCTGTTCTTGTCAATGAGATACAATAATGGTAAAGAGTGCAGTCCTATAATGATACACCATAGATATATCATAGATTTTTTTTGGTCTGCTTTTTTGCTAGGCTGTATTGGGGGGTACATTTGACAAATAACAAATTGTATGTATTTACAGTCTATGTGAATGATATACATTGTGAAATGATTGCCAAAATCGAGCTAAGTGATATATCCATCACTTTGTATAATGGCAATTTTTTTCAATGTTGGAACACTTCAGATAGCATCTTATGGGAGATTTCAAGTGTACAGTATATTGATAACTGTAGTCACCATGCTGTACATTGGATTGCCAGAATTTTTTTATGCTGCATAACCATATCTACCCCCCTAACCGGTAGCAACATCATTTTACTTTCTGCTTTTGTGGGTTTGACATTTGCAGATTCCAGACACAACTAGGACAGTGTTCCTTTGTGTTTGGCTAATTTCACTCAGCACAGTGTCATCCACAATCATCCTTATTATACCAAATGGCAAGGGCTTCTTTTATTTTATTAAGATTTATCTATTTATTTATGGAAGTCAGATATACAGATAGGAAGATCTTTCACCTGCTGATTCACTCCCCAAGGAGCCACAATGACTGGAGCTGTGCCAATGCAAAGCCAGGAGGCAGAAGCCTCTTCTCGGTTTCCTGCATGAGTACAGAGTCCCAAGGCTTTGGACCGTTCTCGACTGCTTCCCCAGGCCACAAGCAGGGAGCTGGATGGGAAGCTGGACCACTGAGATTAGAACTGGTGCCCATATGGGATCCCAGCATGTGCAAGGCGAGAACCCTAGCCACTAGGCTACCGCACCAGATCTGGGGTTTCTTTTTTGAGACGGGATACTGTGGCTGGTTCATCCATTCAATGGACAATGGACACTTACATTGCTTCTGTATTTTGCCTATTTTGAGATTTTGGAGGCTTGTGCAGATACTGATTTTAACATACTGGGTTCATTTTCTTTGGATCCCAAAAAGGGGGGATTCCTGGATTATAAGGTGGTTCTGTTTTTTAACTTTTTGAAGCAAGTCCATACTGTTTTCTGTAATGGCTATACTATTTTACAGTTCCACCAATACTTGCTTTTTTTTTCTTTTTTTCTCAGATTTCCTTTATTTTATAACCTCACCAAGTTTGCTATCTTTTAATGTTGCAAAAGTAGCCATTCTAAACAGATGTAACAAATTACCTTGTTAAGGTTTTGATTTACATTTCTGGGATGATTAATGATTTTTAATGATATTTAAAAATATTTAAAGGAAGTTTTTAATACATTAGATTCTCAAAGTCACACCAAATACATGATAATTACTACAGTACAATTCTGAGTTTAATGTGATATTAATATAAAGATAACCGAGTCCATGTGATTCATAGATACAATTCTAAGAATGTAATGAAACCTCCCATTCCATTCATTCTTCTGTCTTTCTCCTCCCGTGTCCCCTTTCTTTGTTCATTTCTTTCCAAGGTTTAATTGTAGTGAAAAACATGGGCATCTCTTCATATTCATGCTGAACATTTGTAGTCTCTTTTTGCAGAGATGTGTACTCAGTGAATTCTGTGTTTGTGTGTGTTTTAAGGCACTTTGTGTATTATCCCCGTATCAGATTTGTGATTTGCAGCTATTTTCTGTGATTCCAAAGGTTGACATTTTATTCTGTTCATTCTTGTTGTTGTTGTTTGCTTTTGTTGTTGTACAGAAGCCTTTTGTTTTAATATGTATTCCCACTGGTATTTTTATTTGCTTTTATTGCCTGAGCTTGCATTATCATAGCCAAAAAATTATCATCAACACCAAGACAAAAAAGCATTCACCCTGTGTTTCTGTCTAGGAATTTTATGATTTCAGATCCTGCATTTAAATATTTTGTCCGTTTTAAATTGAGTTTTCTGTATGGTATAAGTAAGAGTCTAATTTCATTTTTTTGCATGTGTTTGTATATCCGGTTTCTCCAGCATTCTTTGATGACATTGTTTTTATACAGTCTGTGTTCTTGACATGTTTATTCAAGTGATCCAGTGACTCAAACAGCATGGTGCTGACATTCAGACAAACAGCCTGGTGAAGCAGAATAGGGGACATAGGCTAGGGAGTCAGCCAGTGTCTTTATGATGGCCTGATTTAAATGCGTTTTTAATTAACAAGAATATTAAGGCCTGGATTATAACTTCTGGAAAATTATTTTCACAAGTTAGAGACGTAAAGTGCTTTGCTAATAATTGTTTAGAAAAATGCATACCTATTTACAGGCAGCTTATGAAATCTTCACATTTTGGTAGGTGATAATGTTTGTTTCACCTTTGTCTTTATAGCTCATACCATAATTCTGATTGTTGAATTCTGCTGGTGATATAAAATGCCAATGCAATGTTATTGAAAATGATATTCATAGTAAATCTCTAAGAATTATGATTCCAGATACTCTGTATTGCATATATGTAAACATTTAATGCTTATTTTTATATTGAAAAAAAATAAAGGCAAAATCAATTATTTCCTGCTACTGCTTTGGTGTTAGCTATAATTTAGTTTCTTATTTGAGAGATTTTTTTAAAATCTCATTAATGTTGATTATTGTATTTTGGGTTTTGTCACCATGGCAATCATAATTTATCTAATATAAAGCTATTGTAATTTTTTTTAAAAGAAACTTCTGAAGAATGTTATCTTCTTATAGGTGAAACTGTGACTGGAGAATTATCCAAACTTTTGGATGAAATAAAACTCTGTCAAGAAAAGGATTATTCTTTTGAAGATTTGTGCCACACGATATCAGACCACTACTTAGATAATTTGAGCAAGATTTCAGAGGAAGAACTTGGGAAAAATGGAAGCCAGAGTGTAGTAAGTAAGGGGGGGATGAAGACAATGTGTCTGTCTCTGCCAGTTCAGTATATACACGTTGCAGCCGTGGGGTTTGGTGCGTTAGCTTCTTCCGCTTTCCCGCTTTCCGATGTCAGTCTCCATGTTGTTCTTTCTCGGAAGTTTGTTGCAGTTCTATTTACATTGCCTGCAGGCAGAAGGGACGCTGTGATCGATCACATGTAGTTTGTGGTGTTCTCTCCTATTGTAAGCCTCTCTTGTAACAGATGGAGTCATAATTTCTTTGGTTATTATTTTTATTTATTTGGCATAATGATATTGATTTTAATGTGTCCATTTTCTTGATAATCTCAGACTAATCCTGTATTTAAAGAGAAAGATCTGAACTCTATTTATATGGGACTACTTCAGTTAATGGATAATGCAGTTAAAAATAAATTTATTTGGAGGGAAATTTAAAAATCCTTGCACAGTTTATTCACAGTGCAAATTTTCATAACATATCCATGGATTTCATTTTTTTTACTCAAAAAAAACCTTACACTGCATTTTCTATGAACTTTCTGTAGTATCCTCATGTAATTTCTTCATCCCAAGTTGAGTCATGATGTAAAGAGATGTGATGTAAACTTCATCCTACATATTTTCATAATCTGCCAATCTTGAGAATTCCTTTCTATATGTTCAGAATCTAAAGTATATGTTGATGATTTTTTTAAAGATTTATTTATTTTTTACTAGAAAGTCAGATATATAGAGAGGAGGAGAGACAGAGAGGAAGATCTTTTATCTGATGATTGCACCACGCCAAATGGACACAGGGCTAGAGCTGAGCCAATTCAAAGCCAAGAGCCAGGAACTTCCTCTAGGTCTCCCACACAGGTACAAGGTCCCAAGGCTTTGGGCCATCCTCCACTGCCTTCCTGGGCCACAAGCAGGGAGCTGGATAGGAAGCAGGGTGCCAGGATATGGCCATATGGGATTCTGGTGCATACCAGGTGAGGGCATTGTGGGTATGTAGGGTACTGTGGTCGGTCTGTGTTGGTGCTTCTTCAGCTTAGGTTTTTACATAAGCAAAATAATAGCTAAAGGACTATAGAGAATCAGCTTAAAATTAAGATTTCTAAAACTATTTTTGTCTTAAGAGGAAGGACTTGGAGTATATATTGCCCATAAAGATAATATGAGGATATTGAAAAGGCTTGTGGAAAATGAAATTAAGCAATGATGTATATTTCTATACAAACTTATTGAATATTTCTGATACCTTACATGAACCTTCATTCAGTTTTGCAACTTAATTTATTATAGAAATATCATCCCTTTCCAAAGGCCAGTAAGGATAGATTGCATTTTTTATTCTATTTATGAAAACTACAAAAAGAAAAAAAAAAAGAAAGAAATACTACATATAGTGTGTGTACTGACATAAACACCTGTAGGTTTTGCCAAATGAAATTTTTATGTTAATAAAATATTTATAGTAATACCTTTAATTTCAGAACAAAACTCCTCTGAAAAAATCTGTAATAGTTATGTGCTATCTCCAAATTATTTATCGGTTACATTTTAACATTTCCTTGAAAGTTAGTTAAAACTGGGCCTGCCTTGATGGCTTCCTGGCTGAATCCTACCTAGCCTTGAATATGCCAGGGTTCCATATGCGTGCTTGTTTGTGTCCTGGCTGCTCTGCTTCCCATCAGCTCCCTGCCTGTGGCCTGGGAAAGCAGCAGAGGATGGCTCTAGGGCTTGGAACCCTGCACATGTGTGGGAGACCCAGAGGAGGCTCCTGGCACCTGACTCTGGATTGACTCAGCTCTGGTCATTTTGGCCTTTTGCACGGTGAACCAACGGGTAGAAGATCTTTTTCTCAATATCTCCTTCTCTCTATAAGTCTGATCTATTTTTCCAATAAAAATAAATAAATCTTTAAATAAAGGTTAAAACATTTTTCTTACATAAGTAATACATGGCATTAGGCTCTTATTCACATGAATTCCAGATGATTTCTCCAAATTGACAGCTTTTTCTCTTTAGTGTCACTTCTAAACTCAATTTCTTTAAAAAAAAAATCTGCTATTGAATTTTAGTTAGTTTTTAATAGATTAGTGTGATTTGTAGATAGAATTCTAAGAATATAGTAATATTCTCTTCCTCCCTTTCTCTTATCTGCCATCTCCCTTTCTTGCTTTTTTTTTTTAGTTTTTGAGTTAGCATTTTAAATTTACATTACAATAAAAGGCTTAATACTTCAGTGAATAAAACATTTAGCAAGTCAGAAGCAAAAGACCTTAGTTTAATATGAATATAGAAAATGGCTATGAACAAACTTTGAATTAAAAAAATGACCATCTCATACTCAGAAAATTTTAATCGTAGATTATTGAAACTATGGTAATGTAACATGATTAACCATGGGTTTGACAAATATAAAAACAAAGTTTTATCAAACTGTGTGGACCATAATGTTTATACACATGTTCTTTCTTTTTATTTTTTCTTTTTGTTTCTTAATTTTGGCTCCCACTTCTATGGGAAAACATGCAATATTTGTCTTTATTTCATTCAACATGATGACCAGATTATTTCATTCAACATGTTGCCCTCCAGTTTAGTCCATTTTGCTGCAAATGACAGATTTTCCTTCTTTTTTTTTTTAATAGCTGAGCAGTATTCCATGTGTGCATACATAGGTATAACATTTTCTTTATCCATTCCTCTAATAAGGACACCTTGTAATTCCACAGGCTTTCTGAAATCTTGCACTTGCTAAATCAGTGTATCCCTTGAAGGCTTCATAGAAGCAGAGAAAGATGCACCCTACATAGGGAGACATGTTCTGCAGTTGAGATGGAGTGAATGAATGAGAGTATGCCTGGACGTGAGAATTAGTGTGTAATTTGAAAGCAGTGGTTTACCCCAAGAGTTGGTTTCACGAAGTCATAGAAAAACAGGTTAGATAATACTAATTTCTAACACGGAAAGTTTTCCTTGTATTAACCGATTTAATGCTCATAATGACGCAATGAGACAGGTAGTATTATTTCTCTCATTTTACAAGTGAGAACGTGGAAGTACAGTGAGCTTTTATGGATTTTTCACATTCACATGGGAAGTGTGAGTCAGGACCTGGACCCAGGCAGTGTGAGGTTAAGGTTATCACCCTCATCACTCAGAACAAGGACAGACCAATACTCTGGGTGAGTCAGTCAGAATTGATGCGGACAAAAATAGACTCTGGAGTACAGGAGTTCTCATGAAGTTGACATTTTTGGAAGATGCAAGTGTTGGCAGCTGCTCTAGGGAAGAGATTCAATCAGTAAGGCTTGGCAGTGGTTGACATTAAACTTGGTGGGAGGGACTAAAAAATCAGTACTTCTATCCTGTGGAAGCACCACAAATCAACTAAGTCAGTATCATTTTGGTTAGTCCTGAATATTGTTCTCTAAAGAAATTGGCGGGTTATTCTACATGTGTGTTACTGACCCAGAAAACTCAAAATAAACCAGCCCCTGCTAAGGTCATTTAGAAAACCTCTGAGACGAGATGTCAGAACTGAGGTCTTGATAATATTGTGAGTTATAGACTGTTGTGAAATAGAGTAAATCTCACAGATTTTCTGTTGCACAGCTCACATTTCTAACTCTCTAGGAAAAGAGTTTCTTGAAGTCTCTTGAATTGTGGAATTGTTTAGTTTGGACTGCAAATGATCACAGATTGATAGCTTAAGGAAAAAACATTTTGTCCTCAAGTTGGAAGCTATAAAATCGAAGATCATGGAGGTGCCAGAGTTAGCTTCTGGTGAGGGTCAGTTCTTGGTCTGCAGGTGGCTATGCTGTTAGTGTACCTTCAGATAGTAAAGAGCAGGGAGTAAAAGCAAATTCCCTGGCATCTTTTTATATGGGCACTGATCCTGTGCACCATCAGGACCCGATGATTTTCCACAGTATCCTTTGCACTGAACACTGTCACGGAGGAGTTAAGATGTCAGCCTCTGAATCTGAGAATGTGGCAGGCATTGAGGTCCTAGAGGTAAATTTTAACAATGTAAGGTATTATTACAATTATTTCTGCATTACATTGAATGTTAAGTGTGGAAACTTTGTCTATTTTATATATTGAGATCCTTGCATGAAAGGGGTTCTTTAAAATGCTCCAATGAAAGTTATGTTATAAATTAAAAAGCATTTACAGTAAAATAAAATGCATTTGCCTTTTCTATAATTTTTTGACGTTGGCCATTCAGTTCAGTTTAACTTTCATTGCCCATTTTCTTCCAGTAGAGGGCACTCTGATTCAGTATTTCAAAATAAGAAACTCAGCCATCTTACGTAAGAGCTTTGTATTTTTGAATTGTGATTTATTAAAACATTAGTTTTAAGGTGGTAATTTGAACAATTTTACCAATATAAGTGAATAAGAATTTTTTATTATGATTGAGTGCTTTCTGCTGAAGGTTATACATTAATATGAAGGTCAGCTTAAGTTAAAATGACATTTTTTTCTTTTACATATTTTAGTTCCAAAGTGATTCTGCTTTTAATACTCTTATAATTATGCAAATGAAATCATTTTCTAGTTTGCTCTAGGACATTATATAATCTAGAATGCAAATTTTGAGGGAATATAAATATCTTCATTCTTTACCAACTTACGAAACATGTTTGGAAGAATATAACATAATTTTTATAAAATAATGTGAACTTTATGTGCTCTTGGTTTATTTTGCCAACCTTTATACTTTTTTCTTCATGTATATACCAGTAAACAAAGTTCTTAAATGTGAACATGGCATACAGAGAAAGGTGATAATAACATAAAGGCCATTGGAGCAGATTTCCAGTACTAGGTATCAGCAATCCATTTTTCTTTCTTTTTTAGAATTTTAGATTTGTTTCATTAGCCTATGACTCCAGGAAATAAATATGAATCTTGAGGGTTGAAATGCATGTGGTTATTTTCTTGTGAAGTGAGGACAGGGACACAGCAGGATCCGGGCCCTTTGAAAGGGGCTGCATGGA